AAAATATTAAGGAATTCAAATGTTTCCTAAATAATGATATATAAGTTATTAAAGCATTCTTTCCCGGAAAATTTTAAGTTGTAATAAATAAATAACTTTACCATCTCAAAACCAAAACTAGCATCAATTAATAATAACACCAAATCCGCGATTTTTGCTAGATCAATCATGCAATTCATATCATTTGTACATTCTATAAAGGTCAACCTCCTTTTTTACCTTGACAAAATAAAAAAAAAATCGATTAAAAGACGAAAATAGAAAATTTTAGAATGGATCTATAGAAATTATGTAATACCACTCACGACCGTAATGGGACCTTTTATTTCTGTAAGTTGTGTTTCGTATATCTCTTTACGAGGGATTTTATTAAAGTAGTTTATTTAAATAAGATTATTCAATTATTAATTAATTTCTATCATAATAACAAAATAATAATCATTATTAAAGTACCTGTAGAGGTCCTACTACAGCAACAATTACAGGAGGTGGCTCAGTTGGAGTTCTATCAACAAGAAGGACGTGAAGTTTCTTTTGGTCCAATTCCTGTTTGTCTCTAGCAAGTTTTTCAGCTTTTCTTCCAGAGAACGGAGCAAAAGCCTTTAAAAAGTAATTTATCAATAATAATAAAAAAATAAATGATTCGATTAAATTAAAAATATATATTGGAATATGTACCTTTGGATTATTTTCTCTTCATTTTTCTTTTGCTTTTTAGATTTTTTATCTTTTTTGTGTGGTCTATGAGCCTTTTGTTGTTCTTTGTTATCCATGCAAATTAATTTAGACAGAGAGTATAGTCTGATTCAACTCGATTATCTAGATTTATATGATCGACAAAAAAAAAAAAATTTTTTTTTTTTTGATACCCCCCCCCCCCAAATCAGGGTAGCTTTGATAAAATCGTACATGGATGACAATTTTAACTTCCAGACAGCCTATTGCTGTTTCAGCACCAGGGAAAGTACTTTTAGCAGGAGGATATCTAGTATTAGATAGAAATATGATGGAATAGTTATTGGAACAAGTGCAAGATTTTACTCGGTAATTTATTCGGGGAAAAATGATTTTGGAGAAATATCCGTTCATTCGCCACAATTTAATGACGGAGAATGGAAATATCGAGTGAATGAAAGTTTAGACGATAGTTTATCTTGTAAACTTCAACCTATGTAAGCTAGTGGATTAAAAACAGTTTTTATTCTTATTAAATGATTCGTATTAACGTAATGACGTTTAATTCAAGTAATCCAGAAAAACGTAATTCGTTTGTTGAAATTGCCATAAAGTATTCTTTATCAATTATTTTACATAGAATAAATAAACACAAATTTCAAGAAATATTTGCTAAAAGGATTAGATATTTATATTGTTGGTAGTAATGATTTTTATTTGCAACACAAACAGGTAGAACTTTCTTCATTTTATTCACATCATTATATTGGCCCGCCCTCTGTAAAAACAAAAGCTAAGGAAAAGAAATTTACCACTTACATCCTCATCATTAAATTCTCTTGAACCATTTTGTAAAGTACATTGCAATTTAAAAGAAGTTCATAAAACTGGATTAGGTTCTTCGGCAGCATTGATTACATCACTTGTGGCAGCGCTTTTTGTTTATTTTGAAATAGTATCAAATCAAACAGATGATAGAGGATTAATTCATAATGTAGCACAAATTTGCCATTGTTTGGCGCAAGGAAAAGTTGGTAGTGGCTTTGAGAAAAAAAAAACTCTTTCCCACTTTACTCAAAACCACTATGGGAAAAGTCACTCAAAAAAAATTTAACAATAACCCAAAAACTCAACCCAAAAACTCAACACAACACTCTTAATCATCCTGATTTACCCATTGACAAAAAGTCTTTGGAACCACCTCAAAAGAAAACTGTCACTATTCTTAACCATCCTGGTTCTACTGAAAATAACAATATTGACAACTCAAACATCGCCTCTGATTCTCAAGGCAATATGGAAGTAGACCTTCCACTTGAACCTGAAAACGGAGATGCTTCAACTCCGGTCGCTTCTAAAACTACCAACATTATGGACGAGGAACAAGCTCATGACCCCACTGAAAATTTAGTCAGAAAAGTGGTTCTTCACCTAATGTACTCTCGTTTAAATGTATTTGTGACGTTTTTTCTTTCTATATCTACTGCACCTACGAAACTTTTTTCCCTGGCAAATCTAATAAGGAAAAAATTAACCATGCTTGTGAGATGTTCAATGGCGTTAATTTTCTGTCGTTCATTGGTGCCTCTGTGAAACAAGACCCTGCAAATAAAACGCTCAAAATTGTCCGATTTGGTTTCTCCACGAGTTTAGATGCTAACATGCACTCTGTGTCAAATTTCCTAATATGACAGATTTGAAATTGATGCCATTAGAACGTCCTAACTTATTTAGATTCAACTCCAATTTGGCGATCAAAGTTACAGAGATCCCCATTTCAATATCCGAAAGCGTTATCTGATCAAAATTCACCAAATTTGGCAATATTCTAAAATGTTCCATGATCACCAAAAACTTGTAGTAACAAGCGACTATCTCCTTTGCAAAAGGTACTAATATGACAGTATTTAAAGATATCAAAGATCAATTTATTCTTAAAGACTTAGTCCGAGTTTATCCCTGCTCTGCTACAACTGATGAAATTCAACTTCGTTTAAAATTTGCACTCAAACTCACGAATTTGCCTAAAGACACCTCTGGACGTGAACTGAAACCTATTGCAAAAGCAGTTAACGCGATGATATGAGTAGTTCCTAAAACCCGCTCAAACTACCAAAATCTACAATACGCTTTTGTCCATTTTAAATCTGAAAAAGATTTGTTTACTGCAGTTAATGACAACCAAATCATATTAGATAACAAGAGACTCGTTTAGATATAATCTGACACCAAACTGTGTGCCTATTGTACTGCGTTAGGACATGACTCTCGTTTATGTAGAAAGAAGCGTGCTGCACCACAGGATCGTCAAACCTAAAATCTAACCAGAGGTTTAAACCTGTTCAATTCAAAACTATTCAGCTCCTCCTAAGCCTGTATGACCTACATTTACGCATGACAAAGATATTGTGTTCAACCCAAAAAATCCTCAATCGTTCGCAAACCGTACTTGTCATAACATATCACCTTCAAATAAACCTCCTATCGTTCCCGTCTATTTCAAACTGCATTCCAATAACAAAGATAACAACAACAATAAAAACAAAAATAATAATATATCATCTTTAGATGATTCAATTCTTGCTAATAAATCTTGGTCAGAACAAGTTGAGGACAATTATCTTTTTTCACAACAACAACGTGAAAACCAATCCACATAGAAACCATCTAATGCTACCAAAATAATGCTTAAATTAGATGCTCTTACAGAAACACTTGCCAAAATACATACAGATCTCACTTTTACAGTCTGTCATCTTGACACTGTTGAACGACATTTAAACATCTTTACCCTTACTTCTGAGAAAGTTGCTGAGCTAAACATCGCTAATAAAGGAAAAAGCAAGGCCGATATGGAGCCAATATAAAGAGGGTGTTGATACCTCTGAATCTAAAATCGTAAAATATGAAGGGAAAATCCAGTGACTTACTCAAGAAAATGAGGAATTACGCCTAAATAATAAACAAAATATCGAAAAACTTAACTCTGCGCTTGAGGCAGTTGCTCGTATTCAAAAATTTGTGTATAGAACTACAAATAAATCACTCTGTATACCTATTTCACAATTAAACAAACCAGAGGCAATATAGGTAAACGAGAATGGCACTGAATCATCACACCTCGATCTCTTCTTTTAAACACTCTTTATAAATATACAAAATAATCACACAAATATCAAATCTACCACACTTTCTTTAATATTGCAACTCATAATACTCGTTCATTACTCGACTCACATAAACAACAACTTTTAGTTGATCTCTATTTTATTAACCATTAGATATTATTGCATTACAAGAAATCAATTTTACTACATCCCTTCAATACTTCCTCTCAAATCTATTTGCATTAACAAATTTATACCCTTCTTTTCCACAGACTCAGACACTCGACGCTTGGGTTTCAGCGTTAGATTTCTCATTAGAAAATACCTAGCTGATCACATTTTTCACTCTTCCTTTTTTAATCAAATTTTTTGTCTTAATTTCTAATTTAAAAACAAAAACAAATTTCATACTATTAATGTTTACTTGTTATATTCCAATGAACCTCTCCGTTTAAATACAATTCGTCAAATATGTATTCTTATAGATGAAGCTATTAGAGATAATTTTTATATCATTATTTTAGGAGACTTTAATATAAACCTATCGAGATCTTACAACCCCTCACACTTAGCGCGCTTTATAGATCATATTACAAATAACAATTTTATTAACACTTACGACTTTGTCAAATTAAATACCGAGGGGGGACAAAAGTATTGCACACTTTTATTTTTTCAATAATTTTTTATTTTTTACAGAAACATACAATTTTTTTTTA